TCACTCAACATCTCGTACAAATTGTAGATTTCCTCCTCCGTATGGCTCCCTATGTCTTCACCGGCCGCATGATCGACCATGTATTGGAGGGTTTGGTGGAGACCGTCATAGAAAAATTGATTGAGAACCCCAAGGCAAAAGTGATGATGGGGACATTGAAGTTGATACCCCTTGAACCGCTCCCATGCCTCGTGGAAGGTCTCGCCGATGTTTTGGCTAAAGCTAGCCATTTGAGTCCGGAGGTCGGTGGTCTTTTGATGAGAGTAGTACTTGCTCATGAACTTCTCGTAGACGGCTTCCCACGTGTTTAGCAAGCTCGGAAGCAATGTCATGAACCAAGTCTTGGCTCGGTCTTTCAAGGTGTAAGGGAAGCATCTCATACGGAGTTGGTTCTCGGTTAGGCCTTGGAGTGGGAATGTGTTGACGGTTGCATAGAAATCTCGGATAAAGTTGAGGGCGTCCTCTTGAGCTAGGCCGTAGAATGATGGGAGTTGGTTTAAGTGAATGGTCTTGAGATCATAATTTTGGGCCGCCTCCCCGAGCACGAGACATGATGTGTTGTCTCTGATGATAGGCCGTGCAAAATATCTCATATTCGGGGGAGGTTGGAGAAGTTGCTCATTTTGATTCGCCATTGGTTCGGGTTCCGGTTGAGGTTCGTCTATGTCGGATTCAACTATGAGGTCGACCGGTGGAGTCTCCTTTCGGGGTTTACGCCCTCGTCTACCTCGCATAAACAAAAACAACAACTATACCCGGTGAACGTACCAATGGGAAGCAAAGTAAGCTAAAGACACAAACCCAACTATAAACAAAAAGCAAGAGAAATCGAGAGAAACACGGAAATTAAGCAAAATCACAAAAATCAAGAGAAACACAAGAAAAAGAGACAATCAACTAGCAAACTAGGCGTCCTACTTGCCTTCCCCGGCAACGGCGCCATTTGTTTGGTATAGATTTGATGGGCAAGGGATAATCGAGTTACCCGACTCGGGTCGATCTCGAGGGAAGGCTATTCGGAGCTTCGTCTACTAGATGATCGTCCAAAATCATAAAAAGGGAAAATAAAGTCCTAAACATTCTAAGCAATTGATTTGGAAGTTGATTAACACTAACGAGAACTTAACACCGAGCGATTAATTGAAAGCAAGATCAAAAGACGAGCAATTCGCAACCTAAACCATC